GGCTCCACCACTGAGCCACACCCCAGCCCCTCACTGGGGGATTCTAGGCAGGGGCTCTACCACTGAGCTACATTCCCAATTCTCATTTTTATTTTGAAACACATGTTTGGCCTAGTTACTGAGGTTGGTCTTGAATTCACTGTAAAGCCCAGGCAGGCCTCAAACTTCTAATCCCCCTGCCTCAGCCTCCCGGGATGACAGGCTTGCACCTCCTCACCTAGCTGCAGTGGAATGAACTATTGCTTACACCCACACATCTTTGCGGAACCTGTCCTACTGCTGTGGCACTAGGACTTGGCCTTTGGACAAGTATCACACACACACACACACACACACACACACACACACACACACACACAACATAAATAAAATTTAAAAGTAAGCCCGTGATTGAGAAAGGCAGAATGATGATTACTGATGCAGATGGACTCCCCAGGAGGGGTGCATGCTTGCTAGACACAGCCATTGCCATGGGTGGGGGACCTCAGGGGACCAGGCGCTCTTCTCCAGGCCGCCTATGTAGGATGTACGAAAGACATCGTTTACATAACCTACCCTGCATGCAGAACCCGAGCATTTACATAACACAGCGCAGTGAGTCACGACACAGACACGGGACAGTGACCTGACAAGCCCAAGGAGGGGAAGCCCCACTCAGGACCGTTACCCGGAAGTGGCTGTGACACAGAGAGATCATAGGTTTCATAGAGAAGCCAGTAGGGTCAGGCAGGGCAAGACACTTGCTTGGGGGTCACACAGTCAGGATTTAATAGGGCAAGGATTTCAGCCCCATCTGCCAGTCAGCGGAACATAATAAAAACATCACTAATAGGGGCTGCAGAGATGGTTCAGTGGTTATGAGCAGCTGTTGCTCTTGCAGAGGACCTGGGTTCGATTCCCAACACCCATATAGTGGTTCACAACCACCTGTAACTCCCAGGCACTCAGGTGATGCAAATTCATATACATAAAATTAGCAAATCAAGAAATATATTTTTAAAAAAATCACTGATATGCAACACTCCTGGAAATTTACTATGCCATACTGCATGAAGTACAGTTCGTTCTAATTCTCCACTTATTGCATATTTTTATTAATGTTGTGTTGGGGGGTGAATATGCATGCTATGGCCTGTGTGTAGAGGTCAGAGTCGGTTCTCGCTTTTCACCTGTAGGTCTCGAGGATCGAACTCAGGCTGTCAGGCTTAGCGGCAAGCGCCTCCGCCCACTGAACCATCTCCTTCACCCATTCATTTATCTTAAAATCAGTGAGGTAGGGGCAGAACCCAGGTTATTTTTGTATTAAGATTTATTTGTTTATTATGTAGGGTAGGAGGTGCAGGTGCCAGAGTGCGTGTAAAGGTCAGAGATTCTCTCTTTCCACCATGTAGGTCCCAGGGATTGAAGTCATTTCCACGGGCTTGGCGGCAAGCACCCCGGCGCACTGGCCATCTAGGCTGCCCATGGTACTTACTACCCACTACACACCTTAGAGAGAATTTAGAGAGGTCACAGGTCTCACGGTGAGAGATGTTATCTACCCCACCCCAGGAAGGAAAGGGACTCACAGGTCAAAGTCACAGAGCGGGTACTGGAATCCAGTTTTTTGTTGTTCTTTTCCTCACCGCCACGTACATGCCTTGCGCACCTGCTGCGAGCGAACCTGCCCACAGATGCCATCAACAAACACCGAGACCTCAAATACTTGAGTTGAAATATCTACAGCTGCGGCCTGGTGTTCTCTTTCCGCTTCGAGAGCGCGCTTGCTCCTAACCCAGCCTCCAGACTCACTGACTGTCCCCGCGGTCTGTGAAGAACTGTTTTTCTCTGCCTGCAGCTCCCGGGTCTCCTCGCGGGACCCAGGACCGGCTCCTGCGCCTTTAAGGCTGGAACAGTCGTCCGGCGTTGCCCTAGCAGCGCCGCGGCGGTTGCCTAGCAATGTCAACAAACCGCGGCGCCGCCGGCGACTCCGCGCGCCCTCCCCCCGCCACCCGCCCGCGCAGACGCGGTGACGCGGCGGCCTGTGGCACGCCGTTGCCTAGCGACGGGAAGGTTGTTTGTCCCCGGCCAGGCAGCACGACCGCGCGCGGCAACCAGGGCTGGCCGGGGGCAGACGGGCCCGACCCGGGGATGGCAGCGAGGGGACATCTGGGTCCCCAAATTACCGCCTTCTGCGCCCCCTCCTCTCCCGAGTGCCTGTCTGTCCAGAGCCTCCCGCGCGTTGACGGTCTCCTTCCTCCAAACCATAACACAGAAAAACAAGCGAGGTGGCCCTTCTCAGACTAGTCACTGTGACCTCAGACTCCAGGTTTCCGGGTGCAGTGCTGGGGCAGGGGGATCCCCGCCACCGGGGGAGACGGTGGCTCAGTGCACGACCTGTACACACGCACGCACCCAGGGCCACACACAGCCCGTGCCTCTCTCTCTCCTCCCTCCCTCCCCGTGGGTTTCTTGCCTACCTGTCTCCTCCACCGCCTCTGTCAGCAGTCTGAAGCATCCCGGCTCTGTCGGAGAAACCATCCACCAACTGGGAGGGTCTGCCCACTGGCCCAGCACACCTCCTCCCAGGGCCCCCCATGCTGCTGCTTCATGTGACCAGGGCTGGGCCGAATCTCTGAGCGGAGAGACGCAGGGTGGAGTGAGTTCTGGGGACAGTGCCCAGCTGTGTGATAGACAGCAGGTTCCCGAGGACCACTGTTGTGTGTGTGAGAGAGAGCCATGTTTTTCTAGGTGAGTGGCGTGTGTATGTGTGTGTGTGTGTGTGTGTGTGTGTGTGTGTGTGTGTGTGTGCTGGGGGAAGTGTTTGTAGCTGGGTTGATCGTGTAGGGGTGTGTGTATATGTGTGTGTGTGTGTGTGTGTGTGTGTCTCCCCAGGTGATCTGTGAAGCCGAGAATGTGCAAAGTGTCTGTGGGTGGCTTCACCTCCAGTGATGCCTCCTGTTTACAACTGTGTGTTCAGACAATCCCTTCAGAGATCCCCAGGGGTTGTAGCTCATAGAGCGGCTTGCTTAGCATGCACCAGGCCGTGGGTTCAAATCCCAGCACTGAGAATTTCCTCTGCACATTGAATGCAATTTGTTTTCTTTTTGGCTGGATCTAAGCTTGTCCAGGCTACTTCAAACTTAATATATAGCTGAGGAAACCCTCAGACTCCAATTCTCTGCCTCCACCTTCTGAGTGCTGATTACAGACATGTACCCCTATGCCCAGCTTACACTGTACCAGGGACCAAACCCAGGGCTTCATACCTGCAGGGCAAGCACTGTACCAATGGAAACACATGCCTAGTCCCTTGTCTTTGTCTTTTTTTTTTTTTTTAAACAAGGACTTCCTATATAGTCCAGGCTGCCTTTAAATTCCTAATCCCCCTGCCTCGGTCTCCCAAATGCTAGAATGATAAGCCTGTACCAAGTTAGTGCCTCCACTTTCCAGTGTTCCCTGTCTTCTGCAGTGTCCTGTGTCCTGTGAGGGAAGGACCCAAGTGCCACACACACCCGGATCCCCAACATTGCCCTGCACACAGTAATTGCTCTGACCTGAGTGTCTGCAAAGTGTCACAAGTTCTGGGGGGGGGGGTGTCTGTCTGCTGTAAGCTTCGTCTCCAGAGCTTTGATGGACTAAAAAGACACCAGCTGTCACACCCACAACGGGGTCAATGCCCACGGCCTTGGACTGTGTGACGCTCTCCGCTCCTAGCAGTAGGGTCTCTATGCTCGGTCTCTGCCGTTTGTTAAGTGGGGTGATATGGCCAAGTGATTTGCCTCGTGCCTATAATCCCACTCCCAGCACCCACGCCGAGGCAGGAGGGCCAACATAATTCACAGCGAATTCCAGCCTAGAATGAGACCCTGTTTCAATGTTTCCCCTGGGGAAGGGGGTGCGATGGTACCCACTCATGAGACTGCCATCCATAAACAACTTGATAGAGAAAGTGTTTACAAAGTGCTCGGCACAGCCAGGTGTGGCGGCACACACCTGGATCCCAGTACTTGGAGAGCAAAGTTGGGAAGATTAGGGGAAGTTCCAGGCCAGACAGGCCTACATATTGAGACCTTGTCTCAAAACACACACACACACACACACACACACGCACGCACGCACGCACGCACGCACGCACGCACGCACCCACAATGTCTGTAAGGCACCTTTTCAGGGCAGGTGAATGGTAGCGTTTGGGGAATAAGCGTAGAAACTGGAGTCCCTCAGTGGGACCAAGATGTAGAAAGAGGGCCTGCTAAAGAGAACCGCCTAAGGGCAGGCTCTTGACAAGACTAGCTTGCTCCAGATGACTATTGAGGCTGGAGGATTCTGAAAAACCAGACTTATGTGCGGAACTCTTGGGGAGTGACAAAAGCCGGTCTGCTGGTTGGTGGGATTAGAAATAAGGACCATAAATACAGGGCATGCACAATGGACAGGCTAGTCCTGAACTTGTACCCTCCTGCCTCAACCTCCCAACTCTTCCAGGTCTGTGTCAACAGCTGGATGACTTGTTTCTTTCTGTGCCCGGGGCTTCCCTGGATGGGGATTAAATGTCTGAGTGGCTGAATGAATGACTGGACCGATGCATGGGTGGATGGATGGATGGATGGATGGACAGATGGATGTGATCTACAGTCTCTGGTCTTTGGGAAAGAGGAGAAAGATTGGTGGCCAGCACAAGCTGGCCCAGAGCCCTGACTCTGCGAATCCTCTCTTTTTCTTTTGTGTCCCTAGCTCAGGGCCATAAAGGGCGTGGAGGGGGCCGGGAAGGGAGTGTCACGCTCAGTGGCTGCCTGCCCTGGACACTGGCCCAGAGTGTCTGGAGGAAGAATAGGGTATCTCAGGCGTCTGAGTCACCTTGGAGAAACCCTGGCCACATACCTGTCTGCTGACATCACACGACCAGGGTAACCCTAGTGGCCTAGACAAGGAGACTGAATCATGGACTGAATTCAGTCACCTTGGGCATGGGCACATGGCCACGAGTGACCCCCTGAGACACCCCCGAGTGGCTGTCTGGCTGTGGGGGCGTGCAGGCCACATCAGGGTCAGTGAGGGTGCACCAGCCTGAGTCAGGGACAGGGTGGCTACTGCCAGAGACCACCGACCACAGCATCCACGGGGGCAGGAAGAGAAAGTTGAGGGAGGAAAGCCAGAGGGGAGGCCCCAGCCAGGGAGAGGGAAGCGCCCCGTGGGTGTGACAGGAAGCTGTGGCTTGCGGGCAGTGGCCTGGGACCTGCGGCAGGGATGTGGGATGGGGTCTTGGTGTTTGCGCACAGAATGGCGACGTTGCAGGAGAGCCAGAGGGTCAGGGCACGATCACACCCGTAGACAATGGGCTCTTACACACCCACACGCAGGCGCTTGCGCACAGAAGCCAGCCCAGAGCCAGCCAGCCTCCCGCCACCCCAGGGCCGCAGCTTACCACACACAAGCCTGTCCCCCAAGGCTTGCTTCCTGACCCCACTGAGTGACATCCATAACGTGTACTTTATGAAGATTGTTACTCGTGGTATTTGATTATCTCTTTTGATATGAATAATTTACACACACGAAGTACACACATCTTGCCAGGCACCGTTCTAGGCTATTTGTTTACTTAGCGGTTCTGGGGATTGAACCCACCCACGACTTCTTGCATGCTTGGCAAGCACTGGACCACTGAACCTGTCCCCAGCCCCTGCCTCAGGATTCTAGGCAAGGGCCTCGCTGTGTGTCCCCAGAATCCTGCTTTACTCTCAGTTCCGAGGCAGGGTCTCACTGTGTCGTTCTGGCTGGCCTGGAACTTGCTCTGTAGATCAGGCTGGCCTTGAGCTCAGAGATCTGCCTGCCTCTGAGGTGTGTACTATCATGCCTGGCTAGCTGTGTATATCTTTAAGGAGGTAGAGAGGTATACAGAGTCCAAAGAAACAGATGTGTAGACACACGCAGTTGGACAGGCGACTGCCCTAAGGTGCACACACACGCATTAACAGATACTTAGCTGCGTCTAGCAATCACACCCAGCACTGGATCAATGAGCTGAAAGGGCCTGGCTGGGTGACAGAGTGACCAGACCCTGAGACATAACAGACCTGAGACACAAGCCTCTCCCCAGCAGCTTGGGCACCGCAGGTTGTACCCAACACCTGGAGTCAGGTGCCACACTCACACACAGAGTCCCTGCCGCCAGGTGGTCCACTAACTGCATATTCGAAGGCCCAGAGAGATCTCTCACTGTGTTGCCCATCAGACCCTATGAATGAATGAATGAATGAATGAATGAATGAATGAATGAATGAATGCTTATGGAGCCAGGAATGAGTCAGGCGTGGAAGCTAATGCCTGTAATTCCAGCACTCAGGAGGCTGAAGCCGGAGGATTGCAGGGAGTTGGAGGCCAGCCTGTGCTACAGAGTAACACTGTCTCAAATGGAGGAAACAAGAGCTGGCAAGGTGGTTCAGTGGGTAAAGGAGCTCGCCTACAAGTCTGAGGACCTAAATTCAATCCCTGGAATCCGCATGATGGAAGATGAGAACCAAGTCCCACAAGGTGTCTTCTGACCCTCACAAGTGCGCAGAAGCAGGAGGGTGGGTAAAGTTTGATAGTTCAAAGCTAGCCTGGGCTATGGAGTGAGAGCCTATTTCAGAAAACAGGAAGAGAGCTGCGTATACTAACTCAGCTTGTGATGCAATGAATTCTAGGCCAGCCTGGGCTGCCCAAGGATTCCCTGTCTCGGAACAAATGAAGCTGGAGAGATGGCTCAGGAGTTATGAGTGAGTGTGTGTGTGTGTGTGTGTGTGTGTGTGTGTGTGTGTGTGTGTGCACATGTGTGTGTGTGCATGTGTGAGTGTGTGTGTGTGCACATGTGTGTGTGCATGTGTGAGTGTGTGTGTGTGCACATGTGTGTGTGCATGTGTGTGTGTGCACATGTGTGTGTGTGCATGTGTGAGTGTGTGTGAGTGTGTGCCTGTGTGTGTGTGTGCATGTGTGAGTGTGAGTGTGTGTGTGT